ATAAAATAATAAACAGAAAATTATTGCCTAACAGAAAGTCTATAATTGTAGAACTGAGATAATGTAACATGATTTCTAACCAGTGTGGCACGCTCAGGGTTATTTACTAACTGATAATGCCAACCAGTATCACCTCTTGGGAAAAAGAGAGGATAAATCATAGGATCCAAGTTGGCTGACATACTTGATACAATTTTTAAAGGATGATCTCTTGGGTAAATAACAACTTCCCTTGGAGTTGGGGGAGCACCATCTTTGCTAATAATAAAATTGCAACTTCATCATGTGAAGGTAGATTATAGCAACGTCTATCACCTCCTTCAAGTAATGACATTTTCACAACTGAAGCTTGGCGATCTTTTTTAGCCACTTGACATATTTCTTCATCTTCTACTTCAGTCATGTTTTTAAATGCAAAAGCAAATGGACTTTGTTCAGTAATTATAGTTGCAATTGAAACATTAAATCACGTAAACAAAGATCATTACCACGTTGTTGCATTCTAAAATTTACTGCTGCAAGTGGATTATAAATAAATAGTTGAGAATATTTTAGTGGAATATCTTGAGCTGGCCTAAGATTACCTACACGATGATAAATCTGACCACATATTTTAAAACATGAAGGTTCATGATTTATTGGTTAAACTACAACTGCTTTAAAAGAAGCAAAAGAAAGACAGGGATTATAATTTCAAATATGTTTTAAAAAGTTGTCATTAGCATTACAATCTACATAACTTCCTGTAAATAAATCCTGTAAAGCTTGTGTAAATGGTGAAAGTGGAGGCAAAGCTATCTTACCATTATGGCAACATAGAAAATGTGTTTCATCTAAAAATTTCTTAGCACCACAGTGCTGACAAATTTGATTCATTTCTCCTAAATAATTACAATCTGGAATAGCATTACTTCCTGCTATAGAATACATTCGTCAAGGTCTAGCAGCATTTCTTTCATTTCGGCGATGATTATTTTCCATTCGCCTAACCAGACTTTCTTGGTTCAAATTATCTTCAGCTTGTATAACAGTTTTTCTTATATTTTGGCGATGATTAACTACATTATGATAAAGCCTATTTCTTTCATTTTTCTGATGATTAACTTCATCTCGCCTAAGTCTGTTCCTTTCATTTCGGCGACGAATTTTGTCAACACGCCTTAGAGCATTTACATCATTTTGTAAATGCAAAACTTCATCTAGCCTAACCAACCCTTCAACATCATAGTTTTCATTAAACATATTGTTAAAATTCATTCAAATTCTCTATAATTCAAAATCTATTTTTGTACTACTCTAAATTGTACAATAGAGTAAAATAATTTAATTGTTCTAAAATTTAAAATAAACTACAAATAAATATCTTGCTTACAAAATTAAAAGAAAAATTATCAAAAAAAATAAAACATTTCACCTTATTGTACCTAAAACAATATATCTATAAAGAGATCAAATATAAAATAAAAAACATTAAAAAACATTATATAAGATAAAATAAATAAAAATCTAGGATAAAATAATCAGGATCAAGTTCTTTCTCTTTCAATCTCTCTCAATCTCTCTTGCAGACCTCCTCCTCATATATATATATGTATGTATATATATATTCTGATGATCCTAAAGAAACAGTTTGTAGATGATATATAAAAGCTAGATTAGTGTTTTTACTGATTTATTACTACTCTGTTCTTTAAAAACATTGAGCACTGTGATACAAACTTAAAAGTTCTTTTGTTTTAATTAATAAAATAATTTTTACTGAACTATTTATAAGAGCAAAAATAAAAGTTAATAAATGTGGAAACAAAATCAAATGCAGTTTCTTTATAATATATAGTATATATGATATATAAACCTCTACAATTTCATCAGTACAATTTCAACAACTGATTTATGATTAATCACAACTCTGGAAACATAATTTTTCTAAATCTAAATCTAAATAAATAAACAAATTATGAATAGAAATAGAAATGCAAGGAAACCGCTAGTATTTAAATACTTTAAATACTTAAATATTAGTACTATAAATATTTATAATATCTAAATAAATAAATTAAGATAATTAAACAAAATAAAGAAACATAAATAAAAATGTAAGCAAATGTTTACTGCAAATATTAAAAGATTAATAAACAATTATTATAATTATGAACAAAACTCATTCATATCCAATAAGTTATATTAAATAAAATTTAATTGATTTAATTTAATTAATTTAACTTATTGAAAAGCCATATAAGTTTGCATAAAACTGAAGTCAACAAATAAAACAAATAGTAAATAAAATGAATAATCGTTAAGACATCAACACAAACATAATATACAAATTATGTTTGTGTTGATGACAGCATATACAAACGTTTAAAAAGTAATAAAGATTAATCTCCTTATTTAAACTTTTATTTAAATATAAAAGCTCACACAACAATAAGCTTGGCTCGTGAATTAAAAAAAAAAAGATTTTTAGAAACTATTAGCGAGTATATAGAGTATACTTTACATAATACAGAACCTTAACTAATATCGAACAATAGTAACTAACAGTACTATTCTATATTATACATATATATATATATATATTATATATATATATATATATATATATATATATATATATATATATATATATATATATATTAGGGTGATGCAAAAAACTTTTTTAAAATAGTCTCCTGCTCTTAACTAAATGTGTTCTATATAATACAAAAACACTAGGTTTAAAATTTTTTTGAATAAAATATATTTTTAGGGGTGCCTCAAAACCCTTAAATATTTAACAGTTCCCTGATGTTTTGAAAAAAAAGTTTTTCAAAATTATGTCAACCTGGTACTCAAAAAAGGGAAATTATATAAAAACTTAAAAAATAATAATCAATGTACATAAAAATATTTTTTTAAAGATATAATTGCCTAAAAACTATTGTTTTTAAGGTGATAATAAAAAAAGTCAATATTTTCAATATTTTGAAAATAATTTATTAAAACATGTTTTTTATTAAAATTGGTTATTATTTTTTAAGTTTTTATATAATTTCGCTTCTTTTGAGTACCAGGTTAACATACTTTTGAAAAACTTTTTTTTTCAAAACATTAGGAAACTGTCAAATATTTAAGGGTTTTGAGGCACCCCTAAAAATATCTTTTATTCAAAAAAATTTTAAACCTAGTGTTTTTGTATTATATAGAACACATTTAGTTAAGAGCAGGAGACTATTTTAAAAAAGTTTTTTGCATCACCCTAATATATATATATATATATATATATATATATATATATATATATATATATATATATATATATATATATATATATATATATATAATATATTTTTAAAAAAGTTGTTTTTTGCATCACCCTTATATATATATATATATATATATATATATATATATATATATATATATATATATATACATATACATATATATATATATATATATATTTTTGTACCAGATCCTGATAATCTCTTCCATAAGATCTTGCTTGTTAGTAAGTTTCCAAATTTTTTCCAAAAAATTTTTCTCTTGTTTTACTATTTCCCAAATGTTTTCTATGGGGTTAAGATCAGGTGAAATGCCTGGCCATGGCAATACATCAACTTTTTTTCTGTTTTAACTAAGCTATAACAGTTTTTGCTGTGTGGTAAGTTGCACCATTATGCATTTATATAAGATTTTTGACATATTTTGACTTTTTTTGAATTTTTTTGATATTTAAAGACCAATCTGCCATTTGGGAAAGCAACTAATTCTTCATAACTTCTTTACACTGATTCTGCCTCATTGTCCCAACCACTTTGTAGAGACGCCCTGCTCTTTGACCACAAATTACAAACCAGATAATTATTAAAGCTGAATGCTTCACTGTTTCCACAATGTAGTTAGGATGAAACTTTTCGCTTGTTCTGCGACAAACAAAAGCTGTTTACCATTACTTGAAAGGTTGACTCATCTGAGAAGCAAATCTAAAATAATGCTTATATTAAGTTATAATATTTATAAAATATTTTAAAATAATTTATGAATATAAATGCGGATAAAATATTTTTTCTCAATCCTCAACAGACCAATGACAATAATTTCAAACCCACTCTTTTTTTTTCATGAGTGAAATTTGTTTTGGTTTCTTGGCTTGGCATCAATCCCTCTTCTTTCAGCCTTCTGTGAATGGTCCAGTCTGACACAACAATACCAGCTTCATGGATATTCAATATGTTTTGTGGCTTTTATCTGTTTTCCAGGCAGATATTTTGGATTATACATTCTGCTCATGGTGTTGTTTTGCATTTAGAAGGTGGTCTCCTTGGACCAAACTTTTCCTCTGTCTCAATTTTTTTTCTCACTTGCATTAGAGATTGATGAGAAACCTTTAAAAATTGTGTAATTTTTCACTAAGAATGTTTTGTATTTTGTAAAAGACATGGTGTTTTTACATAAACAGAAAAAAACATAAAATCTTTTATTTAAAGACAATGACTTGATGATTATTATTAAGTTCAAAAAATTAATTAAAAAAAATTGAATGAAAAAAAATAAAAATAAAGCACAGATGCTTTAAATCAAAATAAATCACATTAAAGCATCAATTAAACTACCAACTAAAAAATAACCTTAAATTGCCCAACATGCACCTATTTGATTATGACAGGTGGTTGCTAACAGGTGAATTGTTATTTGATAAAATTTTCATTAAATATTACTAAGAGTAGAGATAACTTGGCATTTAACAAGAAATAATATCATTGTTATTTTATTATATGTAGGTTTAAAACATCTATTTGAATTAAATTGTAAAAAAATGTGTGGTCCTAATGTGATGGCCAACCACTGTATATATATATATATATATATATATATATATATATATATATATATATATATATATATATATATATATATATATATATATATATATATATATATATATATATATATATATATATGTAAACAATTAGAGCTACTGTATAAAAATATATGTAAACAATTTTAAAATTTAGGAGTTATTCACAGCTATTGAAAGAAAATTTTCCAATTTTAAACAATCTGAGCTATTTTTCAACAGTTTATCACTGCTGCTAATCTTTTATGATGATCTTGATTTAATTAGTTTTGCGCCATTCAACTTTATTTCATTTGTTTTTGAAAATTTATCATTGGAAAGTTGTGATTGGAGTTACAGAGATATATTAAAAAACATATTGCAACATTTTCCTGAAAAGTTTTTAAGGTAGCATAGGATTTTTTATTATATTTTAGTGTGTTTTTTTTTGTTAAAAAAGAAACAAAAAACAAAAACAAAAACAGGATTATTAAATTGAAATAAAAATTATCAAGATACATAACTATCAAAAAATTCTAAAATACAGTTCAAAATTTTGTTTAATCTTTTTTTTAGTGTTATTATTCTTTTAGTTTTATTTTCTCTCTTTATTTAAGTGTTATTATGTTTTCATTTTATTTATAAATATTTTAAGTAATACTTTTTTCTTTGTTTTTATAAATATAAGTTATAATTATTGTAGACTAGTTCTATTAGTTGTATTAGTTTTGTTTAAAATGAATGTTTTAATTATAAATTAAAATTAAAAACAAATTGGCATTAAAAAACATAAATATTAAAAAAAACTTGATATAAAATAACTTTATGTTTAACTTAAAAAATGTTAAAGAATTTAAAACAAGCTGGCAAAATCTCAGCTTAATATAATTTTGATTTTTATATACATTGAGTTATAATGAAATGCATCTTTAAAATTTTTAAAATGCAACAATGGTAGCCCAGATAACTCAACCTTTAATTTATAATCCTTTAATTAATTCAGTTTTAAAAAATCTAAAGATATTTTGAGCTTTTAATCATTTCTTTAATAAATATATATACTAGTTCTTACACCTGTTATTATTTAAGTTGAGCAGTTATTGGTTTAGTTTTTAAATTTTTATTTCATTTTTTTTTTTCAAGGTTTATTCAAATAGCTCTAAGTTCTTTGCTTAAAAGTTGGTTTGAAAGATATAATTATTCAGAAGAGAAAGCTCATGTTTGGTGTTATGCATTGTTAGTGTTACATGTCATCTCTGATGAATGGAACAAGAAATTAAAAATAAATCAAGATCCTATAAATGCCTCCTACTGTGGTTTACCAAATTTTGTTGATAAAAAATATCTCACAATTTATGAGTAGGTTTATTACTTCTAACAAGGAATTTATTACTTCTAACAATTAAAATTGTTGTTTACATGTAATATTTAAAGTAAGATTTTTTTAATGCTTTATTTAATTTTTTTCCTATAAATGTTTTTTTAATATTAAAGTATATATATATATATATATATATATATATATATATATATATATATATATATATATATATATATATATATATATATATATATATATATATATATATACTTTAATATTAAAAAAACATTTATAGGAAAAAAATTAAATAAAGCATTAAAAAAATCTTACTTTAAATATTACATGTAAACAACAATTTTAATTGTTAGAAGTAATAAATTCCTTGTTAGAAGTAATAAATCTTATAATGCATATGCATTATGAGATTTGTAAAATGTCATTAAAATTTTTTTTATTAATTTTTAGTATTTATGGAAGTTAATTTTTTAAAAACACTAATAATTTACTATATTTATAGAAATAAAAATATTTTCCCGAATTCATTTATTGTGTTCTTTGTCTCTCATTTGAGCTATTTTTTAGCACTTTATAATAATTAATTTTGTCTAACCATTTTCACCCACCCGTGCAAGTAAAGCAAAAACTATTTTTCTTTTTTTGAGCAAGATTGACAATATGTATGTTGGACCATGGGTTAACGGGAGGATGCCTAAAGTAATAAAGAATAGTTTTTTCAGTTTCAATATTATAGTAATATAAGAATATGTCATACGTTTGATTGATTGTTTTTTCATAAAGTAACAGTCTAGTTCACATTTTCAAAGAAGGATTTAATATCTTTGTAAGAAGCAAGTCTTGGCATTGTTTTGAAGCTTGAACTATGAGCTGTTGAAAGAACTAACATCCAAGTACTAGGTGGCCTTTATCATAGTCTCCAAGAATTAGATTATACTTAAGGTTGCAGACCTGAATAATTTGTTTAGTAAGAATCAAATTAAGAACTCCTGCGAAACTAGCATCTTGTATTTGAAAAGTTGAGGCATTAACGTGTTGAGTTAAAAAGCAATCCTTAAATGTATTTATAAATGTGTAAATGTGGGACCCCTTGTTATTAAAAAGTTGATATACTCTTCCATTTTCCATTAAATTTTTTTGGTCCAGATTTGTATGAAATATTGAATATATTTATATATTAAGTATTTCATATAGATATTTAGATATGAATGAATATAGGTATTAAGTTTTAAATGCATCTTGTATATTTATCACTTTTTATTTTAGAAATTTGTCCAGCATTAAAAAGAAAAAATATTACTTTTTGGTCTGTTAAAATATCACTGACACAGTTATTCCATTAATTGTTGCATTTGTAAGGCCTGATTTTTGATTTATAGAGGCTAAAATTGTAGTTGTATGTGGGACGTTATCTTGATCTATGTTGTAACTTTCATAACTTATCATATTATGCACCCTTTTTGCGTGTTTAATATAGGTACTTTGGTTTTATGCTGTTGTTTTGGATTAATTTGTTACTTAAACAGTCTGCTGCTTATTTCCTTTTTTTTCACAGGTGAATTTCAAGTATTGATTGGGATCTGTTAGGTTATTGGCCTCGACACCAAATAAAAGAATGTTTTATAGCAGCAAATATAGGATGTTGTATGCAGGTTGAAAAAAAAATTTTTATTTGGTTTGGAAAGTCTTTAATTGCAATTTCCATAGTTGTTGCTGTAAAGTTTTTCTAGTGAGTCTTCATAAAATTATCCAGTCTAGTGGATGATTTTATGAAGCGTTGGTGAATCATTGGAGATATTTTTCTATCAACAATTGCATCACTGATTAAGATTTCTTTGTGCTCATTTAGAGTTAATGATTTTATGGGACATTTTTGTACTAAGATTTGAAGCTTCTCCATGAATTGGTCAATAGGTTCTAGTTCAAGTTGTTTAATAGATCTTAACTTGCGATGCATCATTATCGGTGTAGTTTTCTTTGAAAATCTATTGTCCAGTTTTTTCAAAATTTATTTGATTCTCAATAAATGGAAAAAATTTAGCATTGCATGGAACAAATAAAGCTGCATCTAGCTGATCTGCATCTGGTTCATTCTGGCTTTTATGATACACGTTTGTAACATTTTTTTCTGATGTAAAAATTCTTCCTCTGATGATCTTGAAGAGTTTTTTGAAACATTTTTGAAACATTTTATCATCCATTAATTTGAAAAGATTTATTAAAGTATTGTTGTAAACTGAATCAAGTTTAATCTTAGCTTTACTAAGAATAAATTCTATTTGAAAAAAATTAGTTGCTTAAGTTTAATTAACAACTTTTTGCAAAGTTGTAAAATTTTAATTGAGATTTTTTTATATGAAAGAAATAATATTTGCATGTAAAAAAAGTAACAATAAAAAATTATTTTTGTATTTAATAGGAAAGAAAGTGTTTCATAAACTTAATTTCTTTGAATTTAGTTTCTTTATTACTTTTAGGAGTATGAATAAATGCAAAGTTCTTGGGATGTTTTATTAAAGTAGAAAAACCCTACATCCTTGCAATAAATGTAAACTGTCAAATCAGAAATGTTCTTCAAACTTCTAAAAAAAATCTTTTTTTAAAAGCAATAGTGTCAGATTATAGGAATAACCTGATACAGAAAGTAGTAATAGACAGGAATAGTTAGTCCTTCTTTATTTAAAGTGTTCAAATATGTTCCATATTTTTCATAATGTGTAGTTTTATCATCCCCAATTTCTTTAGTGGGACACTTTTTTATTAATTTTTTTTTTATACAGATTCACTCCCAGCAAGACTGCAAACAACCACTATTAAGTTGGGAGTTACTAGAAAATATAATGCATGATATTATCTGTTAGAACAGATAGCAAGTCGAACAAGAAGTTAAATTTTACATTTTGAATTTTAGAGTGTAATTTATTAGACTCAATATGGGTAATTTTGATTTAAATTAATTTTGTTGGTCAAAGACTCAAAGACCTTTCTCCTAATAGATAGAAAACTGATTGGACGATAGTTGGACGGTTCAGAATTTCACTGGAGTTTTTTTTTTAATTGGAACCACAGATTTTACAACAGGCAAGAAAACATTATTCAGTCAAGCACTTATTAAATAACTTAATGAGAATAATGAAGAGTTCTTAAGAACACTTTTGTAAGACTATGACAAGAATGTTGTGTGTCCATTAGTTTCAAGACTCAAGTTAGAAAAGTTGTTTGCAAGTAGTTCTACCTCATCCTTGGGTAAGATAATAAGATCAGACCCATGAATGAGAGTTTTAGACCTACCTTTATTAAAGATGCTGTTGAAGATTTTACAAAAGTCTCTAGAGCTTAACTTCTGAGATATGAGATTTAGTGAACTTGGAATAATAGAGCTTAGCATCAGACAACACTTTTTTTGTTTTGATTTATTGCAATAATAATTAGTCGCTTGTTCACAAGAGAGTTGTTCTTCTAAGAAATATACAGTAGCTGTACAAGAAGATGAAAACCATAGATTATAATGAGGTTTGACTTAAAATTGACAAGATAAATAAAAGCTGCTATTCCTGCCTGGATCTTGGAGGTGTATTTATTACAGAGAGAAAAAAGATATCAGCACAAGAACCGTCATGAAGAAAATTGTAAAAAGAATCCCAGTCAGCTTTAGTGTAGTAGTAAGTAGTGCGATGATAGGACAAGTCCAAACAAGAATTACAAGATATATTTATTCCATTGCATGATTGGAACTACCTAAAGGAGAAAAAGAAGAAACTAAACACAAACTAATGTCAGAGAACAATTCAGAAGTAAAGCTAAGTGCTTAGGGTTGTCTGGAAAACAAGTCACAAAGTTAACTATCTGAGTAAGAGATTGAGAAATGAAGTAGTTTTGAGCATTAGTGTCAGTAGGACCAGTGGTGTTAGAGCCAAGCCATTCAGTGTAATAATCTCGTAACATAAATTTTGGCAGAGGGGTAATGAAAATGAGCATGGTCAATTTGATTAGAAATAACATCAAAAATAGTGCAGTCTTGACAAAAAGAAAAACAATAAAGAACAAAAAGGAAAGGTGATAGAGTTAAGAAGTGCTAAGCAGAAGCACATAAGAGAATGTTCAAATAATTTAAATCTGATCTCACAACAAGTTGGTAAATTGATGATATTTATACCCCTAACCAGGCATGTGATTATTGGAGTCTTTGTTAATCAAAGAATAGTATCTATCAACCCTGAGATCTGATAAAGGAATAGCGGAATATAAGTTAGTTTATTGAGAATCAAATAAATTTTGAAAAAACTGGACAATAAATTTTCAAAGAAAACTACACCAACAATGCTGCATTGCAAGTTAAAATCTATTAAACAACTTGAATTAGAACCTGTTGACTAATTCATGGAAAAGCTTCAAATGGTACAAAAATAAAATCATTAACAATTAATGAGCACAAAGAAATAGCTAAGCAGTTGTCTCAGTCCTGCTAATTTACATAAAGTTGTAACTTAAATTATTAATTATTCCACTATTTTTATTACTTTATATTTTAATTATTCTATTTTTACTTTTTTAATTTATCTTTTTTTTGATACTTTCTTTTGAAAAAAAGTTTTTATGTTGGTGGAGAGGAGAAACAATTACATTGATGGAGGATAAATCAGCATCAATTCACAGCATTATTAAGTAAACACAGCATTTTCTGTCCTTTGCAATTTACAAAAAGTACTATACTTTTTTATGGTTGAGTGTGAGCAAGGGATAATTAAAATCCACTTGTTTTTTGAAATACTTCCTGAGACAATTTGTATTTTACAATCTGAAGATTTACAATTTGATTAACAATTTAGAACACAGTATTTTAAAAAGCATTATAAATTATTCAATTTAAATTTTTTTAAATAATAACATTAACTATTTTGTCAAATAATTTTGACTATTTCGTAAAAACAGCAACCAAAATTTTTTAACCTGGTATTAGCAGATGTTATTTGTTCAATAGGGAAACTTCCTCTGAATATCCTTTCCTACTACCAGACTTCTTGGATTTATTGGATAAATAAATATTTCTGAACTTATCATCTAGAAAAAACCATCAAAAGTCATAAGGCAGTAAACAATCATCCTCAACAGGTGATTTTATAGTAGTTTCTTGGAACTCTGGTACTTTAGCTCCAAAACAAGCAACACAAGTGTTACTCCAAATACTATATTTATTTGTAGAAAAAACTTGTTTGATGATAAATATTATATACTTGCAAACATTGAAATATATTTGCCAGTAATAATTATTCACCATAAAAGTCTAAAACAAATTTATAAAATTTGTGTCTTACCTAAGAAGTGTATCAACATTTTCACCATGTTTGAGATAAAATATCATTTTTATCGTTGCTATTGACAGTGTCACTAGTATTAACTTTAAAAATATTATTCTTGGACACTAGTTGGTTTTATAGTAATGTAATGAATAAATAATTTATAAAAATTGATGAATTATGCATATCTGTTAAGTTTTATTTTTAATTTACTTAAAAATAATATTTTCTTAAATTTTGCAAACTTATTGTTTCATGTCATTTTTATCTATACAAAGATAAAAAAAACTATCTATTTTCTATAAATCTAGATGGTATCCTTGGCCAAAACAGGTTTTTGCCTAAAACTGTTAGGGTCAAGAGTTTCAAAAAAATATTTATACATTCAAAAACATATAATATAATATAATATTGTTAATAATTAAAACACATTTTTCAAATGCATTTTTAAATATGAAATAAATTCTTACTCTTTAAGTACATATTATCTCAAATTTCCCAGAATTTAATATTGTGTAAGACTTATTATCAGAAAAATATTTATAGAACCTTATATTAAGAGTTGTCCATTTATCATTGAATTTTTAGGTTGACCTTAAATAATTTGCAAAAAATTCAGGGAAGTTTACAGAAAGATATTTTGCTTCAGAGAGGTATTGCTTATCTTATGGAGTTCAAGTATTTTGTGGATGCATTAAAAACTGAAGCTTTTAACAAGCATCTTCTGATTAACATGATGACATATCATATAAAGTCAAATACATGTTTAAATCAATCCATGGTAATTAGTATTTGTTAATATTTATAATTTAAAAATTAAATTTTTAAACCATCCTTTAAAATTTTAAATGAAATTTAATGTCGAGTACATACCAATTCATGTGCTATTTTAAAGTTTGATCAGCTTTTAAAATCCTGTAAAACTAGATATAAAATATTAGATATATATATAACTTAATATATAAATATTTATTTGAATTTTTGTTATGCATAAATAACTTCAGAATATATCTCTCCCTTATAAATTTGTTTTTTAGATTACTAATTGTAAAAAATTCTTAGATGAATTGCAAAGATTGGACTTTGTTCAAAAAAATTCCAATAGGTTCTTAGTAACATTAATATTTGTTTTTTTGGTTTGAATAATAAAAAGATGCTTGCAAAGTTTAATTCTTTTACGTAAATTTTGTTTGCATTTTTGTTTCTATTTTACTTTTAGAAGTCATATAGTTGAGGCACTTATTAAAATGTTACTTGTGTCATTAAACATGTTAGACATTAATGACAACAGTTGCAGCTTACTTTCTAAAATGCTTAATTGTATAAATGAATTTTACAAAACGATTGACCCATTAAATAAATGTTTGACAGAACTTAATGAAACCATCCAAAAGCACATACCAAACATTATAAGCAAACTTATTATTAAGTTTGGTGAAAAACAGAGCTCATGGTATACACTGCAAAATTTGGAATCACAACTTGAGGTAGATTTTTATATTTCATCTGATATTTTTTTGGGTTTTTTTTTTTTTTTTTTTATTTTAATTCACCTCCTCAAGGCCGAGAAGGCCACTACAGACGAGGAGGCTACTTATTTGTGGTTATAACCCTCTCTCAACTCTATAACTCTGAAACACGAACCTTGACGAGCAAGGCCGCTGCGCGGAGAAACGAGTTGAGCGCGGTACTACCAGGGACGTGGTGGGGATCGAACTCGGAACCACTCGTTTATGAAGCGAGCGCTCTACCACTACACCACTACCGCATAAGTTACTATAATAAACATACTAAGTATTAAAGGTTTTTATTCAAATTTTTATTCATTTACAATTTAATTTTAATATTAACAATAGTATTAAAAATCTAGTTGAATAATATTATTATGATTAATGTTGAATAATATTATTAAGATTAATGTTCAATATTAAAAAAAGTTAATTGTTTTTTTTTTAGGTTATAAAAATGCTTGCCGATTTAGAAGTTACAAAAGGAAACGAATTCAAAGAACTTGCACTTGATATTTTGAAAAATAAAATTGTATGTTAAACTTAAATTTTAATTTAACTCAATAAAAACCCATAAAATGATAATAGAAGACAATTATCACAAACATATAAGCATTAGGGCAAATTGAAAAAAAGAAAAGCTCTTTTGTGAATTTTCTTTTTTAATTTATAAAGTCTCAGACTGAAGAGGTATTCTAGTCCATATATATAATCAATTTTTCATGCAACTTATATAACCACATTGTTTTCAGTTGGAATGTAACCTATAACATTAAACAGAAATTACTTGTATAACCACTAACATCATTTCTTCTTTAAATATTTTTACATTATTTCATCTTTAAGTATAAAAATCTTCGATTTTAAATCATACTTAGTTTGTAAAAAATAAATCTGCAAATCTGTTTATGTTTTTATTTTATTATCTAGAAAAATGCAAAAAATAGTGTTTTGTTAGAAGCTTATTGTCGTTTGGATATTTTATCATACAATGAGTTACTTCATAAACCTTTTACAGATTTTTTTTCCTCTGCTATTGAACAAATGTCGCAGGTAAAAAATCTTTTAGTTAATTAATCTAGTTAATTTTTCAAATTTTTTTTTTAAATATATTTTTTTAGTATTGTTTTATACAAAACTAGCTTATTTCAGTAATGATATTTTTTTTAAAAGATTTATTTTTATATTTTTGAGATGTTTTTTATCTGCAAATGATTTTTTATTGCTTTCTTAAAAATATCTTTTACAGTCAAAAGAAGTTTATCTGTTTTTATTATGGCTAAAAGTTAATACATTTTTTTTTTTGTTGCTAAAAGCGAATAATTGTTGTAAAAACATGGATAAATTTTATCAAAAATAGTAATATTTTTTGTATAACATTGTTTAATCCTTGACACGGTAGGTGATTACAAAAATTATACAAGTTAGCACTTACTGTTTCTGGAAACATTTTTAGACATGTTATATTTAGTTTATTTTTTTTCTCTAAAAAACCATTTAAGTTAATCTAAATTACCAAGTAAAGGTAATTTAACCTTAGGGAATATTTATTTGATATGCTTTTTATACTTTGCTTATGATATTAAGTGAATAATAATAACAAGATTCAAAATTTGAAAAAGGAAAAAAAAAATGCAAAAGTTATAAAAGTTAATATATTTCAACAAACAACTACATGAGCACTTACAGCTATAAACTACAGCAAAAAAATAAAAGATTAAAAAAAAAGGGGATAAAAAAAAGATACTTTAATCTGAATTAGAAAAAAGTTCTAATTGAAAGAAAAAATCTTTAGTGCTATAAAACTAAAAAACCTTTATAAAACTTTTATTTAGTTTCTTTTATTTAGTAATCACATAAATTTAGGCATTCTTCATTCATGGTAGGTTAAGAATCAATTACAATAGATGGTGCCATATCACGGTAGGAGAAGAAAAATACTAGAATTTACAAAAAATTAAAAACAGCATTCAAATTGTAATATTACTCAAATTTGAGTAATATAAATTAATTAATAATTGAGTATAAATTATTAATCCGAAAATTCTAAATTTAATTCCGTTATGGTTTTGGAGTTATGAAGTTTTAAAATTAAAAGTTTACTTATAGTCACAGTAGGGGAAGACATGAACCTATATCTATCTATCTATCTATCTATCTATCTATCTATCTATCTATCTATCTATATATATATATATATATATATATATATATATATATATATATATATATATATATATATATATATATATATATATATATATATATATATATATATATATATATATATATATATATATGTATATATATATGTATATATATATATATATATATATATATATATATATATATATATATATATATATATATATATATATATAAACATCTTTGCTTACAACAAGGTTGCAAGCAACCACTAATTAGTGTTGGAAGTTACTGGAAGAGAAAAGATGAAGATTGTAGAGCAAGATAACGATTGACAGACGATTTAAAAGGTTGCAAATTATATGAATCAGGAAAGCAAGATGAAGTAATTAAGAATCAATTACGATAGATAGTGCCATATCACGGTAGGAGAAGAAAAATACTAGAATTTACAAAAAATTAAAAACAGCATTCAAATTGTAATTTTACTCAAATTTGAGTAATATAAATTAATTAATAATTGAGTATAAATTACACTGAATAACAAAAAAAAATTTCGGAAAATATCTTGGAAACCAACACTTGTTTTAAGACAAGTAAGACATGCTGATTACAAATATAGAAACCGTTTGTCTCTATCACCCACCGTTGTTGAGTTATTTGGCATTGACCATTTATATATGTTTAATATTGTATCAAAGCAAACAACTCGCAGGCAAGTTACAGTAGAGCATATATTGCTGAATAGAGTACTACTTAACATAAATACACATAGTTTAAAATATAATACACTTGTAAAATACATAGGTATAACGTAAAGTTCCTTAAATTAAAAGTTAGTTTGGTTTGAATTTCTTGGCTGTAGACTTGCCTTTGTGCTGACAATTTGGCATGTTGCGCTGAAGCATCCAGCAATAGTCTGCTAACATTGCTGCACTCCATCGGCCTTGATAGCGTGACTCCATCACCGAGATGTCCTGATGGAAACGTTCACCATGTTCTTCACTAACAGAACCTAGGTTTTCTGGAAAGAAGTCGAGATGTGAGTCGAGGAGATGAATCTTGAGGGACATGTTACAACCCATTAACTTGTACGCACTAATGCACTTCTGCACAATATTTACATAGTCAGGAGATTTATTATTTCCAAGGAAATTGGCTACAACAGACTTAAATGCCAACCATGCTTTTTTTTTAGTTCTGCTGAGTAAATCTTCGAAGTGACTGTCTGCTATGATCTTCCTTATTTGTGAACCTATGAATACACCTTCTTTCACTTTCGCATAACTCAACTCTGGAAACTTGTTGCATAGGTACCGAAAAGCATCTGAGTTTTTGTCTAATGTCTTCACGAAGTTTTTCATGAGCCCCAGCTTTATATGAAGTGGAGGCATAAGAACTTTTTCACGCTCAACCAATGGCACATGCAGGACGTTTTTACTACCTGGCTCCATTTTATCTCTAATGGGCCAATTCTTATTTATATAGTGGTGCTTCCTATCTCTGCTGTCCCACTCGCAGATAAAGCAGCAGTACTTGGTGTACCCTGTCTGCATTCCCATGAGAATAGTGATCACTTTTAAATCACCACACATATTCCAATTGTAATCGTGATAGCAAATTTTTTCAAGAAGTAGCGACATGGTTTTGTACGTCTCTTTTAGATGAGTAGAATAACCAACCGGTACTGATGCATACATGTTTCCATTGTGTAATAATACAGCCTTCAAACTTGCCTTGGAGAAATCAATAAATAGACGCCATGCTTCAGTCTTATGTTCTACACCGAGGCTTGACATAAGACCTTGGATGTCAGTGCAGTAGCACATATTGTCACTCATTGCAAAGAACTGCACGAGTTCTTTGTGTCTATGTCAAAATTGTGAAGTTCTTGTACCTGGTGATAGCAAATTAAACTCTTTCAGACATGAACCTAGCAGTTCAGCTTGACCTTTTGTTAGTTCCAGGTCCCGTACAAGGTCGCAAAGATCATCATTATTAATCAAATGAATTTCATCATCATCAGGATTGTAGTCAGAGTCTGCCATGTTGCTGGAAGACGAACTTTCTTCTTGTGTTGCATCATTGACTCTGTATTCTGTAAGTGATGTTGGTATTGGACAACTGACTGGATCATGTGGAATTGGTTTTGAAACCGAGGGAATATCTGGATACTTCACAGATGAACGAGTCTTGTATGAGAAACCTGTGACATTTGTCAAACAGAAATAACAGTCAGTGATGTGGTTGCTTGACTCACGCCATATCATAGGAACTCCAAATGCCAGATGGTTGTTATTTTTAGTATTCCTTATCCAACCCTGTAAGTTGCATGCACATGTCAAACAAATGAACTGTGGTTCCCATGACTTGCCGCTGTCAACCTTTGAATCAAAGTATAGTTCATAAGCTTTTCTCAGAAATGGTGTAAATGTCTTTCGGTGGCCTTTGTCTGTGAGATAGCCGCACACATAACAAAACAAGTCTGGTGAATTGATGCAGCCTCTAGACGCCATTGTTTTCACTGAAAAAAAATAGCAAATATATAGGAATAGTGACACACAACTCATTAATAAACATACAGTTACAAATTAAGTACACTAAAGACCTATTTTCAGAACAGAATATATCAATTTAAAATATCAAAAGAATATGTTTAGTGTTGACATCTGTTATTAACTTAGTAAACTAAACTCTATATAAAATATATATAAATATAAATATATAAATATATATATATATATATATATATATATATATATATATATATATATATATATATATATATATTTAAATATCTTTGCTCCCAACAAGGTTGCAAGCAACCACTAATTAGTGTTGGAAGTTACTGGAAGAGAAAAGATGAAGATTGTAGAGCAAGATAACGATTGACAGACGATTTAAAAGATTGCAAATTATATGAATCAGGAAAGCAAGATGAAGGAAGCGAATTCCAAAGAACTGATGTTCGAGGAAAAAAAACTAGGCGAGTAAGAGTTTTTGGAGCACTTAGGAACAGTAACAGAAAAAGGATGAGACTTAATTGAATGACGAGTAACACGAGAATGAATTTTAGTAGATGGCACAAGAGACGCTAGCTCTTGAGAGCAGTGCCCATTATAGCATTTGTAGAAAAGAGAAAGAGAAGCAACATTACGACAATGTGACAGAGGTTGAAGGTTGGCTGCAAGAGCAGGTCCAACTATGTTTACAATGTCCAACTATGTTTACAATATATACAGTCTCAGACAAAACAAGTGCAACCAAATAATGCTAATTTAGTTTCTTTATATAAAAGTGCTGCATTTTTTTAATTTAGAGAAATAACTACATAACTGTTTAGAGACAATGTTCTTCAAGTTTTATTCATCACAAAGTTCATTATTTGTACACGAAAATTAATCAAAAGTATTAAAAAAAGTTGATTTCCTTCTGAACAAAACAAGTGCAACTCCACACAATATTGACTAAGCTGTATTTCGCTATCAATATTTCGGGGTAACATAACATCTTTCAGGATATTTTTATACATGAAATGGTTCATTATTCCATTGATTCGATGTATTGGACCTAGACCATTAGCAGAAAAACACCCCCAGACCATTACATTGCCTCCACCATGCTTCACGGTCTTATAGCAGTAACATAAATCAAGGCATTTTCCGGCCGGTGACGTACACGGCAAATGTTGTTGTTCCCATTGATGTTGAACTTCGATTCATCACTGAACAGGACAGTTTGCCATTTCTGCACATTCCAATCAATATGATGTAGCAAACAGGAGTCTTTTCTTCTGATTCTTCAGTAAAATCAGCGGTTTCTTTGCAGGGCATCGAGAAAACAATCCGACTTCAACAGCACATTGTCTAATTGTTCGGTTTGATACAGGCAGCTTGATCCTGTATCGA